AAGAGAGAGAGAGAGAGAGAGAGAGAGAGAGAGAGAANAAGAGAGAGAGAGAGAAAGAGAAAGGAAAAGAACGTTACATAAACGATTTTGTTCCTTTGCGAAACATGGAAATCAACGATATATAGGAATGTGATGATTTTGAGGAAGATGTTGCCCTCACAATGGATGAGGTTCACATCGAAATACAAGGCAACTACGTAAGCCATCATACAAAATTTTTGTAATAAGCTGATCTTATTTCTTCACGCATGTACTATCTTATCGTATATCATCCCGGATAAAACTTGAAAGAGTATAGTTACGCGAATGTATACTATACAAGGATCGGTTATCGTGTATAGATAAAACGTCTTTTTTTTTTTCTTCCGATATATAACAAAATCATAAGTTTTGACGTATTTTTTTTTTTTTTTATTATTAAGATGAAACGATAATCAATAATTTCAATTCCACTTATTTTTCCAGAATCTCAAATTTAAAACACATGTGTGAAGAAAGGAATTTGAAACATATCGTATTTAAAATCCTTGTTGACAATTCTCCCAGTGTTGTTTCTATCATATATTTGACGAAACTTGAATGTAGTTAGTTGCGTAGCTCATAAATATCGAGTAAATTGAAAATCATTTAATATCATTCGGAGTATCTGTTGGTATATTTCATGTATCGTACGCTTCAGTTAAACGAAGAGATCGAGAAAGTTATACCATGCTGAGAATAAAAAAAAAAAAGATAAAAGATAAGCAAAGATAAAAAAAAAACAAATGTCATTCGTAATTTTTACATTAGGAAGCAGATTCGCCGTAGTATTTAAAAATTTTTTTTCTTCATTGCCGTTGGAAAGTGGTCTTTAGTGCTTATTCCTTTAGGATGTGACAGAACCAGGGGTGGGAGGCGGGGGCGGTAAATGGGTGGGAACCTCGAGGACAGATACTGCGAAGCAATCAGGAGCTGGTGGTACATTGACACCCGCTGATAGGCACGGTTCTGTTCAGGTGAGTGGACCTTGCCAATCCTTTGTATAGTCCATTGTGTCCGCCTTATTCATTTATCTATCCAAAGATACATCTCTTTCTTTCTTTCTTTTTTTTTTTTTCCATTTTTTCCCCCCATTTTATCGTATATTTTTGTTCATTTGATCTATAAATTTCGTTTTATCGATAAATACTCGACATTAATATTACGATTATACGATCGTAAATTTGATCCATGTTTGATCAATGTTTGAAAAACAAGAAAATATTTTTATTTTTTAACATTATATTCTATGATAAAAAAAAAAAAAGAAAAAAGTATTAGAATTTTGTGTTTGTAATTTTATTCAATTCGTCGAATAAAGTTTTAAGTGCAAGTTTATGTTTAAATAGGAAGAGACAGTGCGCCTCTGTCCGCGTTATCCATTTGTTCCCTTTTGTCCTCCCCCCCCCCCGTTTTCTTAGCCCAAGAAGATGACGTGCAGACGCGTCCACGAAGTAAACCGTTCGCTCTATTTCTAGACAAAGCAACGCCGGATTATGGTCAGTTAGAAATCTATTTGCAAATTGGTTTGTTGCAGCATGCGAACGTTTGTTTCGTTGATCGATTCACTTCTATAATATCAATTACTATTTCACTAATACAGTCTATTTCATGTATTTCCCTTATACTCGCGCCTTATACTCTTTTTTTTTTTTTTTTCTTCGTTCTTTATTCCAATGTTTGACCAAAGTTCGATAAAATAACTCGCGATTTTTGAAGAGTAACTTGTTAACCAAGTTGATTAGCCGTACCATGTTTTTAGAGTTTCACTTCGTTTGTATTAACAACGCCTTATGAATATAAAGTGCCGCTTGTTTCACGTAAATTATGGGCTTGGTCCTCTAAAAGTAGAGGTTTACATACACGTGTACATAAACAGATATCACGTATTTTATGTAATTAGTTCAGTATTACAATATCTTTTACATTTTATACGTGTTACATTTTGAATTTCACTTATTACTGGTGTAAGTCATGAAACTTCATTTTTGACATTTCAAAAATGAATATTAGCTTTTATGTCCTTACATATAATTAAATATATTTCCTAGTCTATTTGTCTAGAATCTTTTGGATAATACGTTTTATGTATTATTTAGGTGGTATCTTCGACGAATGGAGAACTAGCCAATGATGATCCTACAGCAGGACATTCTAATACGCCAATTACTGCGCCTCAAGAAGTAGACATGGTCGACGAAACGAAGTTAGTATTGCGTTTGTTATACATTTCCTTTTTTTTTTTTTTTCTTAATATAACTAGTAGATTGTGAATTCTTGATAAGTAAGAAATAAATTATAATTGAACCAATAATATTTATGTGACTAATGCATGACGTATTAGAAATTTAGAGAGAGAGAAAAAAAAAGGCTATCGTTAAAAACGATACACTAATATTGTAGATAAAAATTAGCAAAGTCACATCCTTGTCTCATCGTACAACTTTAATCTCGTATCCTTTGCATGATATATGTTAACCGCCCTATCTGTCCTATTTCAGAAAGAAATGTTTGCCGACAAAAAAGCATTGTCGTGGATGCGGAAAAATCCTACGCCGAAGTTTTTGCCTTCCTACGCCTACTGATCATCCTAGATCGATCCCTGAATTAAATTTATTATCCCAGCACAAGTGGCCGTTAAAGAATTTTCTTTTATACAATATAAAGAAAAAATATAGTATTTATTAATTATCGTTATTCTAATCTAATCTAATTATATACATATTATTCGTATTATTCTGTTTAAAAATATTCTTCTTTTCTTTTTTTTATATTAATAATTCTTATATCGTTACGTAATACACAATTTGTAAAAGATTAGAAGAAGAGAATATTGATGACACATGATTTAATCAAACACAGTATGACTATAACCTTAGAATCATCGTTCTTACTCCTTGTTTTCTTTTATGTTGTTTTATTTGACAAGTGAGTCATGTGTCGACCGTCCGTCCGGGACAATATTCTAGCCACTAGCAAATTGGTTTGAGAAAACAAGTTCGATTTGTCGCCGCTTTGGAATGCCTTGTCGTACTGCATGTTGGTGTCATAGAATAAAACGATCAAAAGAAGACGACTCTAAGTCCTATTAGTGTTTGGTTTATTTGCAGATGCTGTTGTTTCTTCAAACGGAAGAAGAAGAAAAGTGGAAGACAAAAGTGACTGTCTGTTATCGTCAGTCTTGGGGGGGACAATACAGTGCGCGTGTAACAGAAGTGCAGATGAAGTTTTTTTTTTTGGAGAATGTGTTGCGGCAGTGCGTGAAAGGACCATGGACAAGAAAAGATGCAGCCGATCCGCAATAGGGGAGGCCGTTACCTTGCTACGTGCCGGAAGTCGATCCGCTTCTCAAGATTCGGTGCTGCACATCATCGTCACGATGTCACGCCTCCGTCGTTATCAAATTAAACCACAGCCATCATTATTATCGCTATTATTACTACTATTATTATCATTATTATTATCACGATTAACTTTGCTCTTCTTCTTTTTCTTCTTACGATTATTATTACGATCACTATTATAATATTATATTATTACTATATTATTTTATTATTTTATTATTATTATTATTATTATTATTATTATTATCGTTTATGATTATCATCGTCATTTCGTGTACGATCATCGTTCAAATGAAAGAAAAGAACATCGTTTGTCAATGTCGATGTTAGCGAATATATTGTAAACTTGTGACTGAAGATAGTCGAGCCGTTGATTTTCGATCGTTTAATACCGGCAAATTGGTCTGCCCACGTAACACGCATATGCAAGAGAGTAAGGAATTGACGTACGGATGGCGAAAGAACGTGTTTGTGCCTCTCATCTTGTTCCGCGGTGGCGCGCTTTTCAACACGTCATCATTGCGAAATGTGTTACGATATATGTGTATTAAATCGTAAAAGAATTGAAGCTGAAGATCTCATTTTACTCAAAGTCCCGGATAACGAGCGTAGCGTACTCCTGCTTGTATCGAAGTTTATAACACTTATGAAGTCTGATCGACTGGAAAGGCATGAAACTGAAAGAGTAAACACGTTCGCGTCTGCTTAACTCGTGTCAGTTTCCAAGCGCGTTTGATACAATGGCGTTCTTCAAATTCGTGATCGTGTAAGCTGCCTTTCCTTTGTTTTCCTTTCCAATGACTACGAGAAATAAACAATCGAGTCGAATCGAAATTCGCATAACGCGTAGAACGTGTTTTCAGAGTTCTTTCTCTCGTTTTCCAAATTTTCGAATATTTTTTTTTTTTTCTCGTCGTTGTTCCCATTAATTATCTAACGAATATTTCTTGTTTAATGAAAAATTACCCTTTTACGTTTATTTTGTACGATACACGAAGTATAACAGTATTAACGCTATCTAGTAGATAGCAGCAGATTCGTGCTAAATTGCACTTATCGCGTTTTAGTTAACAATTTTTAACTAATTTTATTTTACGCCTACACTGCCTGTTGTTATTCTATATAAGTATCACAATTATATATGAAATCCTTACACCTACTGTACATAAAATGTATCAAGAATTACATATTTTGCTACGAAGCTGCACATACTTTGTATCGAATATTTCAGTTAATCGCATATCATTTAACGAGCTTCGTAGAAAAAAAAACCTCGAAATGGTTGTTAATATATATTCTAAAGTGGAAGGATAATGCGATCGCAATTCTAAATTGTCCGATTTCGGTTTCATGCCTTCCATGAATTCATTATGTAAAAGCTTATACGTCGCAGGAATCATACAAATTACATTTTACATTACATATCGAAACAAATAAAAGAGAAATTAAAAATTTTCGTCTGTAGAGTCTGATATCTACCATGAAAATTGAATAGAACGTAGATCAAGATATTATACACATGTATTCGATATAATTGATCCGTGTTCTATCAAAACACGAAGATTCGGGAAACTTTCTTGAATCGTATCTTATCATCTAGAAAAGGATCCGTTCATTTCGGACAAACTTTTTTATTCTTGAAACACGTGTGTTAAAAAAAAAAAAAAAGATAATTATTAGAATTGTAACAAAAAAAGAGAACCAAAGTATGCTTGTAATTGAATATACATCAATATAGATTTGATTTTAAAGCAATAAAAAGAACTTTTACCGTCTCTGTTTAACTCTATCAAACGGAATTTCCTTGGAACGAATCATTGTTTGCTAGATCGACGCGAACGATATTGAATTTAAAACCAAAAAAAAAAAAAAAAAAAAAACGAAAAAAAAATAAAATAAAAAAAACAATATAAAAATGTACGTGACATAGATATAGAATATTGTGCACTTGGGGAGAACTTTGTTCAGGGCTTATTTAATATGTTTGTTCCACGAAGTTAACAAGAAGAAGAGCGTTGCGACGTGATATATTTGAATCCTCGTGGATGTTTTGAAAATTCATCCAAGCAGTGAAGAGATACTTAAATGAAATGAAAATGCGCGCGAAGACGAAGGAGAAAAGAATCTTATCAGCCTTGCCGATTAAACGAGCAAGTAAGAATATTTAATATGTTAATAATATAGTTTTGTTACAAATTTGCAATACCATTCGTTAAAATAAGTTATACGTTTTAAATGAACTTATTTTTTTATTAGAGCAAACTGTTGTTGCGGAAAAACTTATTGTTGTTCGTTTATTTGCAGACTGATCAATAATAAAAAGATTGGAGTACATTTAATCTCAAGTTCTTTATATCTTGAAATTGATCGATATTTTCTGACAATGCATTTTATTGTAACATATAGATATTAAGCAACATGTAGATATTAAGTCTTTGAAAATTTGAAAAAAGATGCATTGTTAAAAAAGGAAAAAAACGTCCTTTTATCCTTTGCTATTTCGAGTATCGAAAATGAAGCTATAGGAAGAATAAGAAAGAATAGATTTTCTAAAAATAACGTACTTATCTCTAAATATTACCAATACTGTTCATATATAAAGATATATAAAAGATTACCAATGATATGAAAGTAAATACATGTATAACGATATATAAGTGAATTAATAAAAACAAGATAAAGATAATAATGATAATAGAAAAAAAAAATTGTCGAGATAACATCATTAGATAATCATTGGTTGATATAGAAAATAAAAAGAAAGGATAAATTAGACGTGTTGATTGATATATACAAAAGTACTTCATTTAGGACCAGACAAATTTGTAACAAAACGCAATCGATTAATTAAAAAGAGAAAGTCTGTTTAATCGGCTAGTTAGCATAGATGTTTTTCTTCTTGCAGGAATATATTAAGAGGCAATGTAATTGACAAATTGTCTGCGCGTGAAGATGGCGAATACTAAGATTATCGTGTCCGAAGGTCCGAACTTCTACTAGTCTGGCCAACGATTGCGTACCACTGCCGAGCCATATGATGTACCGTGTTAGTGTACCGTGAGTGCCCGTACACGTTTCAATATTTAATGGCCAAGCACATCCGACGACGAGACGTTCGATGTACTTAGAGCGAACGAGAGTGAAAGAGCGAGAAAGAAAAAGCAGGATTAAAAGAGAGAGTGTATCATGATTTATAGTAAAAAAAAAAAAAAAAAAAAAAAA